CAAGGAAAAATTCTATATCTCTTTTCAAGGAATAGGGCCTCCTTTTATACACCATGGGGAAGAGGGGAGGAGCCTCTAGCCATCAAGGCTGGCAACTAATGCTAGCAAAACTGCCCAATCAATTTTGTAAAATTGATGAGCCTTAAATGTGTGAGTTATATACACATTTATGAGGCAATTTCTTATTCAACCATTTTTCTCCAACACTCTCTTCGACGACCTCCACATCATCGACCCATTATTCTTCTTTTTCTTCTTCACTTATAACATGATGTAGAGCATGGTTCTAGGGGGTAACCGACCACCCGAACCACCAACTTCATCAACTTCTCTAACATCAGCACCCGAACCACCAACTTCACCAATATCACCACCCCGAACAAAACACACCAAACGTGACTTTCAACGTACAACCCACCGAAGATTGTCATCACAAAGATTTGTCGCGAATGAGGACCTAGTTTTTGTTGTGATTGTATTGTATGAAATTGGTATTATTGATTTAAAAGTGATGTTGTTATTGAAAGTCATGTATTTGTATTCAACCTTTGAGAAAACAATTTTCTCTCTCATCTATATATAGCTATATATGTTTTTTTTTACTATAATTTTTTTTTTCTAATTTTAAATGGTGATTGGCTTGTTCATATATTTATTGACAATAGAGATAGTGATAAATTTTCAGTTGAAATTAGAAAAAATATGACATGTTCCATAGATTTAACCCACACGGGTAGCTCAATGATTAATAGGGTTAAACGTGGTTTTCTAATAATAGATAATTTCTTGAGGTCTCTTGGTCCCGTTTCATGAGGTGCAACACATTTGGACTTAATCACTGGTTGTATAAGATTTGGAGCACGTTTGTTATGTTGAAAATTGGAATGGAATGCCAATGCCTATTTTAGTTTTGTATTATCTTCTCATCACTACCCGAACCACCAACTTCACTACCACCATGAGCATCACCATCACCATCACCACCACCTTTCAACACCAAACCCACCTCTTTTACAAGCAAATTTCATTACTACTACTTTCAAACTCCACGACCATCAACATCGCGAGCGCCATCGCCATCGCCATCGCCATCGTCAAACAGCCACCACCACCATCACCAGCTCCGCTACCACCTAGAACCATGTTTCACATCATGTTATAAGTGAAGAAGAAGAAAAAGAATGAGCAAGATGGAGAAAAAAGAAACAAAAGATGAATGTTTTGAAATTTTTGAAATTAGTTTTTGGACAACTTTCAGCATACCAAAACCGCCCATTACACGAAGAAATGAGAAAGCGAGGTAATGCAGGGTGAAGTAAGAAGTGAGGTGAGGAGAATGGCGAAAGAATGAAGTAGAACCATCAAGAATCGAGAAAGATATGAAGTCTGAAAGATGGCTTGAAGAAAAGTTGAAAATGAGAAGAAAAGTCGAAAATGAGAAGAAAAGTCTTATTTTTTTATCAAATTCCGGAGCTTTGATAGCATGCAAAAAGAGAAAGAACAAGACGTGTGAGATGTGATACGAAAACTAGACCGTGAGTTGAATCCAACGACATAAAAATGAGGCGAAACAGAGTTATGACGAAGGAGATACACTACAAGAAATTACACTTTTGGCAACTACTTTTGGCGACAACGTCAATTTTTCATCGCCAAAAGTATATTTTTGGTGACGCAGTGATCAATTTCGTTGGTAAAAGTATACCTTTACCGACGCAATTTGCTACCGTTGGTAAAAAAGCATAACATTCTTTTAGCGCCAAAATTTTTGGTTAGCACCAAAATTTCTGTACTTTTAGCTACGAGGCTTATATTTTAGCAACACAATGAGCGTTGCTATTAGTGTGCATACTTTTAGCGACGACAAGTTGGCGTGGGCAAAGGGTTAACCATTTAGCGACGATAACACTATTCGTCGGTAAAAGTTTTGCTAGTGGAATAATGTGATTTAGTGATTTGTATTTTTGATTGCAATTTTTCAAAGAGTTTTAAATATTCTAATTATTGAATTGTAAATTAAAATGATCATTGAATTAGATCACAAAATGAACCCATTAAGTCCAAAGACACTCTTATGTTGAGATGACTAATTTGAGATAATTTAAACTTTTTCAAAGAATATGGTTAGATTATCAATTTCAATATGTTTGGTTTTATTTTCAAAAACTAATTTCAATTTTTTTTCCTAAAAAACTAAAAAAAAATTGGGTGAAAAAAAAAACTTATTATTTTTGTATATTTTTATCTTTTACGTCATAAATACTTTTTAAAATTTTAAAAATATAATTTGGAATTTTATTGCTCTCAAATTATTTTTAATTTTTTTCAAAAAAACAAATCTAAAAATTGTTTTGAAATTATTATTATTATTATTATTATTATTATTATTTTTTAGGGGGGGTGATCTGATTATCTGCAATGGCAAATTCCCTCATTTTTTTTCCCTCATCAATCTCCACGATTTCACTATTGCACACCCTTATCTCAGAATTCATAGTTATCTCTCCCTCACAATTTCACTCTTGATCGTAGGGTTTGTGCCGTTTGCTGTTGCCGCGCGAGACGATCGGTGCTTCTGCCCCTACAGGTTTGTTCCTACTACTATAAAAATGATTAAAGATCACACTTTGATAAATAAAAATATCTCACTTTGATTAAAAATGTAATAAAAAAATTAAATTAATATTTTAATCACATTTAATTTGATTAAGTATGATAATATTTATGTTTTATGTCATTTTTTAATTAAGTGTGATTTTTTTAATCACACTTTCTAAACAAGTGTGATTAAAAAAATTAAATTCCAAAGTTCATTCTGACGCCCAGCCCATGCCCAGCCCTAGTCCCTCACTCACTCACTCTCTCTGTCCCTTCCTCTTCTCTCTCTCATCTGAGATCCAGATCATGAGGTAGATCAAAATCCAAATCCCAGGGCCAACCGCCACTCCTTCGTCGGAACTTCCAAGCCTCTCATCTCAGTCCTTGCATTTCTTTTTCTGTCTTTCGACAATGATGATGAGATCATGTTCTGGATGACGGTAAGATCAATGGTTCACGATGACGATCTGGAAACCGTACCGAAGATGTGTTAAATGTAGAAATCTGGATGGTAATGGGTTTGCGATTTGTATGATGATCTCGAAGCTGTGTTTTACCAGATCTTTTCTTGCGATTCACCAAGATCAGAGGGTTTATCAAAACCCCAACGAATACATGGGCAGGGCAGGGCAGGGCAGGGCAGAGAAGAAGGTAATGAAGCACGGAGACAGAGGGTTTATCGATCCTTCAACTATTTGTTTACAATGGTTCTTGTATTGCAGTCTTGGAGGTAAATTTTGCCTGTTAGTCCTGAAGTCATAGAAGGTGTATTTCTCATTTTGGTTTCAATCTGAGAAATGTGTTAATCTTGAATTATTGTTTGTTTAGGTCACAGTGGTTATTATGCTTAGTAGAATCAACGTTGAGTTGAGAAATGAAAATGTTGACAGTGAATGGATCTAACCCCACAATGGCAGTTGCGGCAACTACTGCGGGTGATCAGCAATTGCAACAGACTGCAAATGTATCTGAGAAAGAGAAAGAGAATGAAACATCAATAACAAGTAACGACAAATGACAATGACATTGGCAATGGAAGTGGCAAAGAAAGCCCCTATTTGCATGAGGAAAGTGATTTACCATAAAGGTATATTACTTTTTGGATCAACAGAAATGCAAACCATAATAGCAATCCTCATGTTTTTAATTAGATTTTCCTTAATTATTAGTTTTTTGCAACCCCCTGGCTTTTTTGGGTTCACTCTACTTTGGGGTTTGAAATAATCTCTTTTTAAGTTTGCATTTATTGTTTTGAAAATGTTGTATTTGAATGTAGCTTGGAACACAACCTCCCTGATTGTCCATTTGCATCTCCTAAAGCTGCTGTGGACTTCTTTGATGATAAGTTAGCCATAATTGGATGATTTAGTTTAGTTTTACAGGGATTTTTTGTGGCTCCTTTTCTTCAATCTCACTACTATTGTGACTCTTAAATGTATTAAGAAGTTCTCCTTATTCGTTCGTTATTTAAATCCTTTTATTTTCATTTGAGCTTTCAATCTCTTACTCAATTCATTGTTATTTACATGGCTTATTCCAAAAATCTGTTTTCCATAACTTATGTTGATTGCATAGGATATCTTTAGAGTTGAGCGAGTTGACCCAGATGGTAAAAAATTTGATAAGAGGTATGTTTTCTAGTTTGGTCATGTCTTCTACAGTTTCTTGTCGTGTTTTTTTTTTAAAAAAATATATATATCTATATAATAAAGCAGAACGGATTTTGAAAATATCCTAGAGACATTTGTCCTACTAGGACATTTCAAGGGCCATGATCCATTTGTATATTCACATGGATGGCTCAGATAACCCCCTTAATTTTATATCAATCCTAAATATATATCTTCCCGCCCAAAGATTCAGCCTCCTCCTTCCCCACGTCTCCCCTCTATTCCATCTTTATCTCTCTCTTCTCACACGTCTCTCTTCTATGTTTATCCCTCTCCCTTCTCTGTTCTCATCAGTTTGTTCCCTTAATTTTATCTGCTCCAAAATTCTGATTGATCAACAACATCGTTACCTGCTGCAAACTCCACTTGCTGTTATTCCACTGCCGTACCCAGCCAAATTCAGAAAATTCATAATCTATCATTACTTGACTTTGGTCTCCTTTAACACATATTCATAATTTGGTCTCCTTTAACACATGTTCATACTTGACTTTGGTCTCCTTTAACACATATTCATAATTTGGTCTCCTTTAACACATGTTCATACTTGACTTTGGTCTCCTTTAACACATATTCATAATTTGGTCTCCTTTAACACATGTTCATACTTGACTTTGGTCTCCTTTAACACATATTCATAATTTGGTCTCCTTTAACACATGTTCATACTTGACTTTGGTCTCCTTTAACACATATTCATAATTTGGTCTCCTTTAACACATGTTCATACTTGACTTTGGTCTCCTTTAACACATATTCATAATTTGGTCTCCTTTAACACATGTTCATACTTGACTTTGGTCTCCTTTAACACATATTCATAATTTGGTCTCCTTTAACACATGTTCATACTTGACTTTGGTCTCCTTTAACACATATTCATAATTTGGTCTCCTTTAACACATGTTCATACTTGACTTTGGTCTCCTTTAACACATATTCATAATTTGGTCTCCTTTAACACATGTTCATACTTGACTTTGGTCTCCTTTAACACATATTCATAATTTGGTCTCCTTTAACACATGTTCATACTTGACTTTGGTCTCCTTTAACACATATTCATAATTTGGTCTCCTTTAACACATGTTCATACTTGACTTTGGTCTCCTTTAACACATATTCATAATTTGGTCTCCTTTAACACATGTTCATACTTGACTTTGGTCTCCTTTAACACATATTCATAATTTGGTCTCCTTTAACACATGTTCATACTTGAATCCTCTTATCCCTCCAGTTAAAGATGTTGTATAAAAAGCATCTATGTAACCACGATTATATGACCAAACTGTTCTATCTATTCATTCTGAAAATTTATAGATAATGCGAATGTAAAAAAAGTTGGATGGGCTAATGACAGGTAAATTGGTCATGGACCTACTCACCTGATCCTGAGGCCCACATTGTTGTTTTTTGGAAACCTTAGTCGCTTTACTCCTAGAAGGATATAAAACCAAAGAAAATTATCAGTGAACAAGAAAAAATAATAATGATGGTGATAATAACAATAAAATAAATAACTCTAAAAGAGAGAAATGAATGACATAGGAAAACTTCTTGATGATCAAGGTGTGATGTGGTGGTAATTGTTTAAGACTGAAAACTCCCCTCCTTAGGCTATGTTTGCTTGAAGGATTTGTAGAGAGAAAGGAAGGCAAAATAAATAAAATAGAAATTGTATTTTTGTCACATTTCCCTTACTTTTCCTTTTCCACCACTAATCCCCACTCAAATCCTAGTCCCAAACACAATCTTAATGTCACAGGTTTGCTAGTTGTTATTCATGTCTTGATGGTCAAAACCTGCTGATTGTAGCAGCAAGCAGAAATAGGTCAAACCCTCTGATGTTTTAATCAGTGAAGAAAACAAACTAGAAAACTTTGAAAGTGATTATATATTTGAAACCAGGTGAACTTATAAGGGGGACACACATGTCCATTACTTGGAAAGACATGAAACACATTATAATTTTGAACAAAATAGCTTCGAGGATATATTAATAAAAGAAAAAACAATATAGATTTATACTATTAATCTCTCTTCCTTTAAACATAGGAATTAGTGTTATATTGTATTTTTTTGTACCAAACTTAGTTTGTAGGTTTTGGTTTTAGTGACAGCCTAGCAACTTCATATATTTGGTATAATTTAAGTCTGTAGGTTTTGGTTTTAGTGACAGCCTAGCAACTTCATATATTTGGTATAATTTAAGTCTGTAAGTTTTCAAATTTTTGCTGCTAAGGCAACGGAGATTATCTAATATATATATATATATATATGTGGAAGAGTAACTGTGACAGTGGTCAATATGAAAAGGATAGGGAAGAAAATAAAAACTCTGTTAGTATTGGAATACAAATATATATCTAGCTTACTCTTAATGGTATTGGGGAAGAGCGAGTCGCTAAGTGGTGGTGGTCTTGGGTGGAATAGATAGGAGCTAAAAGGGCGAGGTTTGAACATCCAAACTAAAATAAGAGTGTTGGGGTAAATACCATTGGGCTAAAAAGCCCTTGGCTAGGAGTAAACAATTGAGTAGTGAGGTAGAAATTAACTTATATTCTCATAGAAAACTGCAAAGAAAACTCTTCAACTTATATTCTCATAGGCATTTTCATTTCAATAGAAATTAACTTCAAATTCTTGATGCTTGCACTTCCAATAGTCTACATGGAAATTCAGTGTTAACTCCTTCAGTGTTAAAAAGAAAATCCTTATTAAAGTTATTAAGGAGTCTTGACTAATAAGGCTCTTGAGATTTCATATACACATAAGCTAGAATGTTCTATCCATTAAAGCTTTATTTCAATTTATTTGGAAGTTGCAATATGAATCTGTTACCTATTGATCTTATTAATGTTATTTAAGTTATGAGAGGCATCATATGTTTCTGTACCTTGCATATTACATAAATTAAAAAATAGATAGGGTCTGTGGGTGTGGGAATCCAAAGGTTTTTATTTTATTTTATTTTTTACCAGATGATGGGAAAAGCTTTATGTTTTGGCCAGTACTTGCGCTTGCATATCTATTAACTCTCTCTCTCTCTCTCACACACACACACAGACTGCTACCAGATCAATAAAAAAGCTAATGGACTTTGTTTTAAATTTGTCATTGATCAATACAGACTGCTACTAGATCCTCCTTTTTGCTGGTGGCTGATGGTTGTTGCTTGTTGGTCTGCTGGTTTGCTGCGGCTGCCGCCCTCGTGGCTGATGCTTGCTAGGCTGGGGCTGCTGCTGCTGCAATGTTGCTGTGAGGTGGCTGTTACCAGATGTTGGTCTGCTGGATAAGGTTGTGGGTGATTTTCATGCCATTTTGCCTGTCTTTGTTAGTTTCATGTTTTCATTTTGTTATCTGTTGTTTCTAATGTGGGTTCACAATTTGGATGTATTTGAGTATTTTAGTGACTTTACCCTTTTAGGTTTTATGCATTGCTTCTAAAAGTAGTATCAGTAGTGTTTTTTTTGCTTGCACATCAATTTTAGGTGATTTCATATCAATGTTATTAGTTTGTAATAGTGATGCCTGAGGGATGCCTCTTGTAAATTTGTAAATCTTATAAAAATATATAAATTATTTTCAATTATTTTTGTTGGTAAATGTGTCGCCGAAAGTTTATTTTTGCCCACTCATATTGTGTTGCTAGAAGTGTATTATTTGCCAATGTCAATTTGTCTTTGCCAAAAGTAAACCTTTATCGACAAACAAATTGTCGACAAATGACAATATTTACTGACGTAAGTGTGTTGCCAAAAGTTAACTATTGCCCACTTATATTGTGTTGCTAAAAGTGTATTTTTTGCCAATGCTAATTTGTCATTGCCAAAAGTGAAGTTTTATCGACAAACAAATCGTAGGCAAATGACAACATTTCCGACGTAAATGTGTCGCCAAAAGTTTACTTTTGCCGACGCATATTTTGTTGCTAAAAGTATATTTTTTGCCCATGCAAATTTGTGTCGCGAAAAGTGCCAAACAATCATCATATTTGAATGACTTTTACCGACGCAAGGTAAATTGCCGACGATGGATGAAGGCTTTTATCGACGACTATGTTTGTCGCTAAAGGCATTACTTTTACCAATGCAACGATAATTTCGTCGGCAAAAACTTTTGCCGACTCACTTTTGCCTACGGGTTGCCAACGTCGCTTTGTGTGTTGGCAAAACTATTTGCCAACGAATTTTCCCTTTTAGCAACATATTTTGTTGCGTTGCGAAAAATGCAATTTCTTGTAGTGCTAAAAAGTAAAAAATTTATGAAAAAAACCTTTTAGAAATTCACTAAATACCAAAAATACAAAAATATTACGAGAATTTAGTACATTTTTTATATTTTTATGTATTTATTAATTTTTTAAATTATTTTTCACAAATTTTTTAATTTTTAGATACATCTAAGTAAGGTACATCTAAAAAAATAAAAAAAATGTTTAAAATTTTAAAAATATTCACTAAAAACAAAAAAAACATGAAAACTAAAAAACTCAATTTTCAAAAAATTTAATTCAAAAAACTCTGATGCTTTTAATTTATTGATTGGTTTCTGTAGGCAACAAGAATTGGAATTATTCATAATTTTATTTATTTTTTATTTTTGTTTTTAAAACTGATTGAGGAACTGCCATACTTCTTAGCTTTTTTTTGTATTGATTTTTTTCTTCTGTTTTTTTATTTGATGAACTACAATGGAAAGTCTCAAATTTGTAGTATAAAAATTGGATTTCAAGTCGTAATGGAGATGGCAAATGACAACATTTACCGACGTAAATGTGTCGCCAAAAGTTTACTTTTGCCGACGCATATTTTGTTGCTAAAAGTATATTTTTTGCCCATGCAAATTTGTGTCGCAAAAAGTGCCAAACAATCATCATATTTGAATGACTTTT